GAGGTAAACCAAAGAGAAAATCATTAATGGAGCTGCTTAAAATTGCATTAACACTGCAAATTTATACACATGCATATACAGTATGTATGTGTATGCACGGGCGTTCTGTATATCCGTATGGATTAAGCCTCCATTCAGTGCAAAGAAGATTTAAAAGTCGAGAAGTTGAACAATTTGTAGGACCCGACCACAGAGGCAGAACACCAGACAGACAAAGCGAGAGGACACATGCCAAAAAAAGGGAGGGAGAAAAGGACACACACTCACACAAGTTCCTAGTTGCATGCATTAGTCGGGGACATAATGTCCTGCAAATTGTAGACATTTTTCAATTTAATGAGGTGCTTTACTCTAAATTTTTCACAAAGGCTAGCAGCAGCAGAGAGAGTAAGAGAGAGAGGGACAGAGAGAGAGAGAGTGCGAGAGAGAGAGGCCCAGAGCCGTTGCCAGAGGCCACTCGAAGAGCCAAGGATAAGTACATCATTGAAATGGCACTGGCCGCCAGCCGGTTGCCCTGTCCGTTCTCTGGCAAGACCATTAAAATGGTAAATTGCGGCCGGGAAATTGCATCATTCTTTAGTATCATTTCACAGTTGCGTTTCGTTCTCGTTCTCGTGCCCATTCTCGTTTTCATTCCCACTCTCATCTTGCCACTGCTATAGTCTGCTATTGGCCAAACTAACTACACATCTAACATTGCACATTACTCATACGCCGCGTGATGCAGCCTGCTCAATGACTGCCACCATTCCGCAGCTGCACATCATTATACTTCAGACGGCAGCCCAGAACCATCCTTAAACAGTTCTCTGAATCAGACTCAGTCGCAGTCTCTGCTTCAGGCTCCATCTTATCCACATGCTCGTCAACGTCAAGTGCCGCCTGACTGTCATGGATGCCGTGTCTTTGAGGCCTCTGCCAGATGGGGACATCACACCAGACGATGGAGTGTCGGTGTCGGTGTCTCTGTCAGTGTCTGTGTCTTTGCATATGTCAAGCGGCTGCTAAATGTCATCCAACACCAAGATATAGGCAGCCCAAAGCCAGTCAAAGCATCCATTCGGGGCCTATGCAAGTGTTTCGCTCTGTGGCAACTATTTTCAGGCTGCCAAACTGAAAAGATCTTTTCGCAAACGATAGGAGAAAGGCAAGCAGCAGGGCTGTAAGAGAGTGATGTCTTCCTTAACCCTTACTATACCCAGCAAATGGAAATTACAAGGCAAGCTCTTACTGCGGTCGTGGAAATATTCCGCATTCGTATGTCTGTCCCCACTAGCGGGTATTCTTTAGTCGACTATAGCTTTCGTTCTTGCTAGATTTATTTTCTCTCACAGTTTCAATGATTTACGAGTACTACTGTTATGCTTTTCACACTCCCCCTCTGCTCTGTGCTCTGTGCTCTCGGCTCTAAGTTGGCTTCACAACGAACTTGAGGTCTGCTCTGCCACCCAGCATCCCGACAAAGTGTTAATGAGCACGACACGCAGACACTTCAATATATTGCGCTCTGGTTGCTTTCATTATACGTTATTATCCCAGCGACAGAGCCAGTGGCACAGTGCGTATGCGTAATTTTTTGTCACTTATGTAGTTTGCACTTTGACAACAGCTCTCTGGCCTCTGCCACACCACAGCATACCGCCTCTCACCCTCTCACCGTCTCACCAACACCGACGGGTGGTGGTGTCAAGTGTTTGCTGCAGATTTTAATTTTGGCCACTTGATGTCCGCCCTGCCCCTACCCATGCCTGTCGCTCCCAGTCTCTTGCCTCATCCTGTTTGATGGCTGCGCAGAAAAAATAAAGGAATTAAATTAAAATTTTAATTAAAACAAGCGCTTGTCTCTGGGATAAAGCAGCCATGATCTTTGCATATATACAACACTCACACTGAAAGCCAGCGGCTATTTAATGAAACGTGTGTGTATCCGAGGATACTGCCGCTTGAGGGTATACATATCTCTGAGGCTGAAGCTGTCAGGCAGCTGTTGGTATGAGGCTTAAATGTCAGCTGGAGGAGAGGCCTCCTTCGGCCATGCCAAGTATCACCTTGATAAGGGATTGAACCAGGTGTTGTTCGAATGGCATAACCTATAAAATAATATAATATGACGGGGCTTTGGGGAGCGAATATCGGTATTATTAATACGTTTAAGATCATGCAACCCTTTTGAGGATATTCCTCTGTAAAGTTCTTTAGAAATTCAGCTTAGTCGTCTGTCATTTAACCTTCAACTGACATTTGATTTTTCTCTTTTCACTGCAATATTAAACGAAACAATTTCATTGCTGATTTTCATCCAGCTCGTTATGACAAAATGCAAGCAGCAGAAGACGAAGAAATTAGAGTCATCGCCTCATTCCTACCGAGAGGTGTCAGCAGCATTATCATCATCAGCTAATGACCCTGGAAAATGGCCAAAATAAACGATAACTGAAGGCTGCCCAGCATGGGGCCTGGCCTGCTCTTCGGTTGGTAGGAAAATATCAGGGATTAAAGAAGGCTTCCGGCAATTTTCCACATCATAAATAATATTTCAATAAATGTACATTGCATTTTCCTTGTCTCCCGCTGAGCACTTAATTACGTTACGATAACCAGCCTCGCCTGGCTGGGCTATTCTGGTCTTCAACAATATGTATGGAAAATCTGTCTCCGTAGGGTGCATTGTTTGCAAGCTGCAGGTTGCACATTTCACTAAAATTAATTTCGGACTGACAGCAGATTCTCCTGGCACCTGGCATAGCCCGATAGCCGCTGCAACATAATTCCCGAACAATACATCAGGAGAATGGAGCCAAAATGATAATAATTAAATTGATATATTTCATTCAATCTCCGCTTTGTTCCTCCCCCCCTCTAGTAGCCACACGATGCGCTTAGTAGATTTTCTCGTTCTCCCTCTACAATTTCTCTTCAGCTCTCCCTCCACATTTCTGTCCCGCTCTATTGACGACTTTTGTTTTCGCTTGCCAATTTTTGCTGGCCAGCGAAATGAAAATTGAAAATTGAATATTTCCGGCGACACAATGAGAAACTCAGAGCAGGAGCACCAACAGCAAGAGGAAAGCAGCTTTTCTGTTTTCGCCACTGACCTAACCTCACAACCTTCGCTTTCCTCGCACCATTTCCGAACCCCTCTTCATTGTCATAGCCAGTATTCGTATTCCACTTTCAAAGCGCGAACTCTGCTCCATTTTGTCGGATTGCCTTTATTCTCTTTTTGAATTGACAATTGCATTGCTGAGGTAAAAAATTGTGTTCCGCTAACAGAGAGCGCTAGCTAAAGGGACCACGAAAGAGATAGAGGGTGTTCAAAAATATGGCAGCCAACGGAAACGGAAATAAGCCAAGCGCCTTCAGCTGCTTCAGATTTCGATAGAGAGAGAGACAGCTGAAAGCTGTTTGGCATTCTGACTCGAGAGTCGCGATTGAGTGCGATTCCATTGAACTACAAATGGAAGAGGGACAGCAAACCGATTTCGGACTAAAATTTCAGCGAACTACGTTACTTCAGGGGAATTGTAGATTGCGCTGGGATGCGATCGTAATTGGTTTCGTTGTGTCAGAGGCAAAAGGGAAAAGTTAGTTCTTTTTAATCGCCTTTCAATCAAATTCTATAAATCAATTTTAAGCCAGCCATTTTACGAATTATAAAACAGCTTTTGTTCTTAATTTATTGAATTGGCTTAAGGAAAGATCAAAGGTAATCCAGACAAAGGCCTGCCACCGATAAACTGATAAGCAAAATTGACTTGGCTAAAAATACAGATTACAGTTTAAAAAAAAAATACCTACGTGTATATGTATGTACATACATACATATGTATAGTTTGTGTGCATTGGATAAAAAAAAAGAAGAGGATTATCCCACTTTGGCCACAATTTAATTACATTTTCACCACAAGAGTTGTGGCGCCTGCTGAATCATCCCGCACAAAGTTCCATTTCGCGGCGCATTAGGGATCCGCCCGGGCATTGAATTAATCCGACATTAAAATAGATTCCAAAAGTGGAAAAAGGAAAAAAAACAAAAAAGGGATATGCTAACTGGGAAATGTGGGTTGGTCCTCTCACATTAAATCCGCCACGGAATACAATGCACAAATCCTATTTGAGCGCAGCTAGCAATTAAATACATTCTGGAGGGACGAAGGGTAGGGCTGACCATCAAAGTTGCCAGTGGTTCGTGTGTCAGAGTGGAAAGCACACATGGGTCCGAGTCCCGAGTTCCGAGTCCGAGAGCCACTAAATCCGGAAGTACACAAATCGCATAAAACACAGCGCCACGAGAGAGTGGTGCAGAGTAGGGAGTAGTGATACGTGGAGAGTGCCACAAGAAGTTGTTCCCAAAAACAAAATAAAAAAGTGACATGAAAAGTCTACAGCGTCGACGACACTGATTCAAAAATGTATTCAAAATGCACGCCAAAAAGGGTGTGTGGGGAAAATAAAACCCTAGATGGGCAAGACCAGCGGGCTATAAAATTCTCTCTGCCTCTCTACAGCCGAACCTATTTTTTTTTAAACCGCATTACAAGTGCAGGCAGCTCGACGAATGGGGATTACCAGCAGCCAAAATGCAGCTGCGACCACCGCTGGAAAGTGGTTCAAAAAGGGGATCCACTGCGAAGGTCCAGGCCAGTGCCACCCACTGGGCGGGGGCCATGGGTCAACAGCGAGTAAACAAGCGACTTTGCGGCGCTTTTTTCTGTTATCGAGCGCGTCCATTTGAATGTTGTTCTCTCTGTTTTTTTTGTTTTTTGTTTTGCTGGGAAATTTATGCCAAGTGTCTGATAATTGAAATGCTTAAGGGTTAAGTGCGAGAGGGTGTAGAGTGGAGATCTGAGAGATAGAGAATAAGAAAATCACTAAAGTGCAAAGGCAAATGGAGCAACAAGAGAGAGAAATGGAGTCTAATGGACCGCAAGAAGCCAAGTTAAACACTTGACTTAAATCGGTGAAACCCATCAAATGGAATTCCAGACATTCCTTTCTTGGAATTCGTCTCAGATCTGAAAAGGAATGCTTTAAAAGTAGCCCTCTGATAATATATCAAAAAAGTCACGTAAAATTCTCTGCAAAATTGTCAAAATTCTTTTAAAACATAAAATTGAAACTATGTCCCGTCGCTCAAGTTCTGGCGTGAATGATGGCAATGCTGGCACAGACTTTTTTCACCGCCAGAGCATGACCTATTTGGATACGATTATAGAGAAGCTTGTGTCGGATGGGGGGAATCCGCGGGCCAGCGAGCTAACCGAGAATGAGCTGACAGACATATCCATGTCGGCCAGAGCGCTGTTCCTCTCGCAACCCATGCTGCTGGAGCTGAGTGCGCCGGTGAAGATCTGCGGCGACATACACGGCCAGTACAAGGATCTGGTGAGGATATTCAAGAAGTGTGGCTTCCCGCCGAGCTCGAACTACCTGTTCCTCGGAGACTACGTGGACCGGGGCCAGAACTCGATCGAAACACTCACCCTGCTGCTGGCCTACAAGCTGCGCTATCCGCAGAACTTCTTTCTGCTGCGAGGCAACCACGAGTCGGCCGAGCTGAACCAGATCTACGGCTTCTTCGACGAGTGCAAGAGGCGATACAGCATCAAGTTGTGGCGTTCCTTTGTCGACTGCTACACGTGCATGCCGGTGGCCGCCATTGTGTCGGACAGGATCTTCTGCGTACACGGGGGCCTCAGTCCGGAGCTGAATGCACTCGAGGATATCCGGCAGCTGAAACGACCCACCGATGTGCCTGACGCCGGTCTGCTCTGCGACCTGCTGTGGGCCGATCCGGACCCCAACACCGACGGTTGGGGCTGGAACGAGCGCGGCGTTAGCGTCACCTTCGGCCACCTGATTGTGGAGCGCTTCCTGCGGCAGCACAACTTCAACCTGATCGCCCGAGCCCATCAAGTCGTAGCGGATGGCTATGAGTTCTTTGCTAATCGCCAGCTGGTCACCATCTTCTCGGCCCCCAACTACTGCAACATCTTCGACAACTGCGCTGCCGTTCTGGTTGTGGACGACGCTCTGGTCTGTCACTTTACGATCATTAGGCCAGAAAATCCGCTCTCTTCCCTTGTAGCGAAAGGAGAGAATGCCGCAAACTCCCTGCCACCGCCTATGGGGCGGGACTCCAAAAGTTGATTTGGATTTTTTTTTTTATTATGGAAAACTATGGAAAATAAATGTCTGGGACATACATATTTAGGGATTTATTTGAGAGTCGATTTTTCATTGGTTTCGTGCCAGCTTGTATATATGTATGTATGTATGCCGGAGCTATGCCTTTTGAGCACCGTTTACGTCCTTGATTTTCCTCGACCTCGAAACCAATTTAATTACCTCCAATTATGGTTCAATCGAAGGAGGGTCAGGTCAGCCAGGAAGCATTCTCCAGCAATGAAATAAGTAATAAATCCTAATTAAAATTTAATTAAAATTCTCAATGCCACAGGGAGAGGTACATAAGTAGAGCCAGAGGTAGGAGTAAGGTGGAATAAATGGAGCCACAACGGGGTAAGCAGACAAAGAGGGAGAAGGTGGTGTGGGTCAGAGTTTAACAGCTGCCAGCCAGGTGGGGAATAACGTGGGGAGGGGGTGGGTAAGCAGTGGCATGCTGAGGTGTGGCAACAAACGGTGGTAACTTTTGTTTGACTTTGTAAAACGTCTGCCTGCCCACAATTTTCCCAGCGAAAATAATTCCATGTGCAAATATTTAAATGCGGCTGAGGCGCGTGCCGGCGGGTACACGCAGTGGGGGCAGGGCCATCCACTCGGCCACCCGCCCGCAGGCAAACTCATTTTGTTTACAATAAAAACCGAAGCAACGTAATTTATACATTCATATGTGCAAGCATAAACAAAGGTTTTCCACGGATTTTCGCAAAGCATAACGCGGTGGAGTTGTGTGGTGGGTGCCAGAGGGGGTAAGGGGCAAGGAAAATAATCTGAGCCAACAGGCAAACTGCACTACGGGCGGGAGATTGGACTGTGTGCGTGTAACTATTATGTATTGTACACATGTGAAAAAACAAATAAGAAAGTTATAAAAGGTCACCTGGACGACTAGAAGATACCCACTACATGAGAGGGGTACAATTGAGAGGTGGGAAAGGCACATTCTGATCCGAAAACAATATACCCAACCCAACTCCATCTCAATGATGACGAATACCGTGTAAAACAAACAAATGTCTGTATAAATATTTATTATGTGTTGGATTGCAGGGCTGCCATTGGGGTGGCTGCAGATTCTGATGATTACGTATATACATATACATACGCATAAGCAATATACGTGATTTTTGCCATTGTCCCATAAATAACATCTGGGGGGTGGCTGGGGGGTGCTTATTATTGCAGCCTCTGGCCATTTGGAAATGTAATTAATTTGTACGCTCATTTTTTATCCAACAATTTCATGCCATTTAAATCAATTTCGTGACGATTTTGTGTACGATTTAATGACGCGTGCAAATTATATGCTTTAGGGTAAATAAATCCCCTAAAAAGGTTGTCAATACAAGAAATACATTTCAGTGATGTTCGTATTGATTCCATTTGATAGTGATTAAATATTGAACAAAGTCTTCCTTTACCCATCCCTCTGTTTTATTTCCTCCTCACACTTGCCAGATTCCACTCTTACGATTATATAGGCCCAATAAAATACAAAAAAAAAACGAAAGCCAGGCACTTGCCTTTATGGGTAACAAAAACTTTATGCAGGCATTTCAGGGAAACAACAGGGAAAATCACCCGAAAAAAAGAAAAGGAAAAAATTAAATAAAAATGTAAGAAACAACGAAATGATATGGTGGCACTTACAGACAGTAAAAGGTGTAAGGAGGAAGAGATACTCTTAGCAGCATAGAGATGGGGCGTCCGGACAGATGATGTATAAAAATGTCAACGGCAACAAGCGAGAAACTTGTAAGTGTCCGTGGCAGTGGCTGGCCTGGTTGGGGTAGAAAACTTTACCAAAGGGTGTCAAAACATAAAAACGAAAATTAAGCAAAAGAAAAAAAAAGGCATCCCATGCGAATGTGTGTGTGTGGCTTTTTTAGTGGCTTCACTTCTGTTGCTGACACCTGCGCACAGTATATCCTTGAAGACAGCTCCGGCTGCGTCGACCAGGAAATGAGAAAATAAAGAGAACGCCAGGACAATCTGCACCTGAAGCCGGAGCTGATTGCTGAAAGCTGCCCTGAAGGCAGCGCGATAAAAAATACAAGTCGGATCTTTTTACTAACTCATTCCGACTAAAAGATACCCGATACAAAGATTTACTTACTGGTCACCAAATAGACAACAGTTCAATTGCGAATTTAATGGCATCCAACTATTCAAAGAACCATCTGAATTAAGGTTGATTGGATGGCAATACTAGCAAAGTTTTCACTTGTTTACATAGCTATGTCCTGGTTGTCTCGTTCGTTGGTCTGTTCGATTGTGTGTGATTGGAAATCTGAGTTACTGTGTTCGAGATACAGGTGTCTGTTTCATAAATATCCACGTACATAGTAAACTTCTTGTACATTAAGAATACGGGGTATAAATGTCCAGTTTTGGTTCTGCGCCATCTTAAAATTCCACCGTTACCGTTATACTTAACGATAACTGGTGGGGGGGTTGGGTGGTTGTTCGCTCAGGCATGTCCGTTAAGATCCCCAGTCTAATTGGCATGCAAAGGTCGTCCACAGCTGTCCACAGAGAGCTGCCTTTGATGGGCATCACTTGGGGCAATAAAGGAAGGAAGGAAAGAAAGAAGGAAGCGAATCTTTGGATAAGGAATATCTATGAATATTTCTGTGTAATCAAAGAAGCTGGGAATCTATGAGGGTATAGTAACCTTTATTGCCATCTGAATGCCTCTTCTTTCTCGCTCTTTCTGGCTGAATTTCTCCCTTATATAATGTCAAATCAAAACATCAGCCACGTGCTTTGCTCTAAATGGCGCGCCTAAGCTCCGGAAACAGCTGATAAAGCGTAAACAAAAGTCAGATGATGGAAGAGACCCAAAGAGAGACAGAGTGTGTGTGTGTGTGTGATTTAAGCAGAGCTTTCACGCTCTCTCTAACGCTCTGGTTTTACCGTTTCGCTCTGCAAATAAGCTTCACTTTCATTCAGAGCCGACAAATGCTTTCGTGGCGCTTCGTTGCGTCTCGTTGCGCTTCGTGGGTGTCGTGGGTTTATGGCTCAGTTAGCCGTTGCAAGCCGAATCTGAAGGTTGTCCTGTCCTGTCGTTTTTGGTGGCTTTGGTTTGCGTGCAGAGACGTATATCCAACGTAGCGGATTCCGCTTATCAGGACCGCCACACGCGTTCAGTTCGACTGCAGACATCGGCGGGAACAGTCGTGAGGCGCGTGTCGTTTTGAGTGTCGTTCGAGAATTCTGCGTTACAGCAAATTGTGTAATTATAATTGATGTCCTTCGTTAAGATTAAATATTAAATGTATCCTCGAGTGCGTCTGCGGCCGCTGTCTCTCTCGCTGTATATATTTTCTCTGGCAACTACGTGATTTTCCATTAAGTGTCTCTGCAAATGAAAAATACTCGAGAAATACAATAAAAATAAAAGGGGAGACGCGTGCTACATCCATCAATGGCCATCAGGAGTCTCCCTGTTTCCTTTTTTTTTGTTGCTGGCTTTTGTTTTTCTCCCTGTGTTTTTCTTTCTGGCTGTAGCCACAATTTCGTCCCTTTTCGCCATATGCCACATGCCACCGTGCTGAATTTGGCCCGATTTTGATTTTTATTGCCCCAGATTGTTTGTTGCCTTCTCTTTTTGTTGATCCACCCATTTCCCCGTGCTACCGTTCAAACTTTTGCATAAATAATTCAATGCGCCTAGAGGTGAAATAAAAATTGGGCGATCCATTGAAATTCAGCCAGCTGAACCCACAGAAAAAGGTCTAAAATAGTGGGATGAGTACAAATTGTTGAGCTGTATTTCATCGGTCTATAAAAAAAGAAAAAATCTCTCTGAAAACAGATTAACATCCGTCAAACAATTTAAGACAGCAATTAACTAAAAAAATAATGGACTATTCCATTGATGTATAATTCATAAATTACAATTCTATAAGAGAACATAACAATACGAATAAAGACATTAAATTATAGTGGATATAAGAGAAAAACTCAAACTTATGTGGTAGAAGTGATTAGCGTTGGAAACAAGGACTTATGGAATCAATAGTATAATAAAAAGATTCTATCTTATATTAATTCAAAAATCATATATCCCTTTAAACTGATTCGCGGAACCAACAACTTGCTTCTTAAACGGTTCCAAAAACTCTCCAGACTGCCCTCAAACTATCCTTTAATCTCCTACCACAAAAAAATCTCTCACTAAAATTATTTTAAGGCAAAAAAAAAAGAAAACCAAATTCCTAACCAAAATATTTCTGTCACATATTTCTTGGCTGGCTCACGTCGGCAGGTTGGCCCTTGGAATGGAATGGTAATGGGTGTTGGTGCTGGTGCTGGTGCTGGTTCTGGCTGTTGGGTGCTGGTTCCGTGTCCTTTTTGGCTCGTTGGTTGGTTGACCTCCAAGCACCACTAATTGCTGCAATTTTTCAAGCTTCACAGAGCGACGCCTGCCTCCTGCGTTCTCCCTCCCTTTTCGGGCCACTAAAAAATGTTTTTGCTTTGCATTCTCCCTTTTCCTCTTGCCAATTTCCATGGAAATGCAACTGTGAATTTTTGATATATATCACAAAAAAAAATCAAATAAAGGGAAAGAGAAAACGGAGCAGCAACTGCGAAATGTTTGTGGTCGTCCTCGAAAAGTCCTTGACACGTTGGCCCCTTCATCTAATGAAGAATGATTGCGAGTAGCGGCACCGCCCCGGGGAGGATTTCCACTCATTTTTCAGTTCCCCAAGGAACTCGAACGCCACATGAGTAATGATCGGGTCTCGCAGAGCATTACCGAAAAATGCCATTGCATTATGGCATCGAAATGTTTGGATTGCTTGCATTTGACCCAATTATGCGAATCAATTACTGGGAAAATTGCTTTTTAATGAATATCAAATATTGTCTAATAAATGAGAAAAAAATTGATGTGGAAATTTAAATTAAAATGAAAATATTTGCAGATATTAAGTGCATATAAAAACGTGCAAATATTTCCACAAGCATTTAATATCCACTAAAGTTTTTATCCAATAAAAACTGTTTGGATGTGTGAAATTAACAAATAATAAGGAAAAGAGACCGAAAAAAAGCTACAGATAGAGAAGGAGACAGAGAGAGAGGTGTGTGGCAAAAGGAAAACTGTGCAAGTGAAGTGTGAAACGAAGGGAATTGCGCCAAAGCAAACGCATCTCCAACTGATTGGGGAATTGGAAAAGAGGCCAAAACCGAAACCCAAACACAAACCAAAGTCAAGGATCAAGTGGAGTCGCCCGGCGGCCGATGATGGGCCAGAACAAAGGAGCTACAGGAACGCAAGCCAGCTGCGGCCTGTTGATGCGGTTGTTGTCCCTGGTGCTGGTGCTGATGCTGCTCCTCCTGCATCTCGTGGGTGAGGCACAGGCCACGCCGTCGCCTTCCTCCATGCAGACGCCACAGAAGCGAGGTAAGTGCTGCCTCCACCATTCTCATCTGCGCTCAACTTCCATTGTGGTTCGATGGGTCGGGGGGAAATGGCAAATAAATGTCAAATAACATGGCTATAACCATAGTCTCTACCCTGCACCCTGTGCACCTCTCATATGTAGGGCTGCCTATGTTTGCAGTGTTCTGGGTAAATACTCGTAGGCAGGACAAAAGGCGCACCACGTTGCGTATACGTAATGTTGCCAGAGTTGCCATAGCTGCTGCGGATACACATTGAATGGATGCCAGGACGGCAATGTCGACACTGTTGGTACTGCTGGCAGTACGAGTATTTTATTAACATTACATTGCTTTCAACTCAACTTGGCATAATAGAAAATTGAATTGCCACAATGAGGAGTAACGAAGGAGTGGTGTTCCAGGGCATCGGGCAATGTGCCACTCACTCCCTGCCCCAATGCATTGGGCTTGTTTATGAGTACAACGAAGCCAGGCAGCCCCCAGCACTGCTGGTGCCCTGCAAGTGATGCAATTAAGTGAACAGCTCTGAAGGATGCAAAACATAATTGAAGCCAGAGTGCCATGAGGTTATGCCGTGGCCTGTCCCTCCCCTCATAATGATGGAGAGATCTGATGCGACAGAGTTGATTGGTACGTTGAGTAGATGGGAAAATTGTAATGGGAGTTGAACCAGAACTGAAGTAGTTCATGCTTATTGGATGAGAAATACTCGGAGAATCATTCTGAAGCTTTGAGTTATGTCAATAATTATTGATATAGACATCTTTCTCTATCTCTTTGCTAGATAAATAAATCAATTGATACGCATCTTTAATCTTTAAGCTTTATGAGCTCTGGAAATATTAAATAAAATTATATCATCTATCAGTTAGTTACTTTCCTTCTTGTATTGGATAGATTTCGTTGCTCCTTTTGTTAATGGAACTTCGTTTATGCGCTGCTCCATTGGCTGCTAGGATACTAGCTACTTGGCCAAGGACCACATTTTCTCACCTCCTGCTCTCACTCTCTATTGCCCTATTCTTATCTGCTGCCATCACTCTCTCTTTCCGCAGCCACAAAGTCCGTGAACTTTTTCTTTCATTCAACGCTGGGGAACAATATCGGACCTAGTCGGGTGTCCTTTATTCATTCCGCTAGCTGCCAGCTGCCAGCTTCCAGCTGCCGCGTCTCGGGAGCTGCCACACACAACATGCTTCATTTTATTATGCAACAGCCAAGAGAAAAAGTCGAAAAACTTGCTACTTTATAGGGGACCTCACATAGTACGAGTCTTACAATGCGATGTATATGGAAAAAACAGAATAAAGAAAAAAAAAAAAACAAGACCAACTTGACGCGACATTGTCGTAAATAAGAGGCAAAAACTTTAGCATTGTTTTCCATTTCTCAGTACCAGTCGCAGGCTCTCTTTCGCTCTCTCTTTTTCTTTGTGAGTATCTCTATCTCTATGCCTGGGAAAAGGGAAAGATGATGGTAAAACTTGTGAATGAATATGATAAGTTTCCCATCCCTTGCCACCACACTCACTTGTGTGGGTGCTGGCCATGTGTGGGTAGCCGTCATAAATTTGTGCTAATCCAATGTGGTAGCTCGGTTCTCTATGGAGGTGAAGTGAACTTTATGGATACTTGAGCGCCCACTGAGGCTGCCACTCCTCCTCTCAGGACAAACTTTTTATGGTTTGTGAAGCGTGAAATATGCAACAAATTGTGGAGGGGAAACAATGGGAAATATAAGGAGTGTGGCGGGATGGTCGATTGAATTGGTAGAATGTCATAAATTTCTTATGGTAAGAGGAAGATACATTTTGGTACATAGCTAAAGACTATGTCGGATATAATTCCATAATTAAGAGACCCAAAAAGACACAGTACAATGTTAGTGCTCAATAGAAAGAATCTTCACAATCAAAAATGCATTTAACAAGAAAAAATCCACACATCAGACCACACGGCGCACCTCAAAGAAGCGCTTCAGATAGTACACCTCGAGGACGGTCATGATCAGCAGTAGCGTGGGACCGAAAATCGACCAAGAGACAATGCGGAAGTGGACACTGTCGCTGACATCCAGGTGGCCGCGATAGCGGACGTGCATGTACTCCTGCTCCTGCTTGACGGCCGTCATCTTGCTGGACAGTTCGTTGAGCATCAGCTGGACAATGGCTTGCTCGAGGATATCGTCGCCGCGTCGCATGGGATCCGTGTAGTAAGCCAGGCCCCGAATCACATGGAACTGGAACATCAGCACTTTGGGGGTCAAAGTGGAGAGCTGGTTGTCGAAGCAGAGCATGTATAAGCCCCTGTTGCTGGCGCTGAAGGTGAAGCTGCCCACGGAGTCCCGATCGGAGTGGTGCAGAAGTTCCTGTTCGGGACCATTGATCGACACACCAATGTCTTTGAAGCCGCCCTCCATCACCTCGAAGGAGATGGTGATGCGCTCGTTCTCCAGGACACGTTCGTGGAAGCAAATCTCCTCGTGGGCATCCACGGTGATGATGAAACCACCAACCGAGTCGAGTAGCAAAGCGAGTAAAATCAAGATTGCTGGAAACATTTTCAATTTGTGCTAATTTTGTTTCGTGCCTGCGGGCGAGTATCTATCTATATTTGAGTGAGTGATTGATGGAGTTGCCATGCCCTACCCCGTCTATACAATTTGACAGTAATTTTCAGGCAAACTCCCATCGGATCTAGGATGAATAATTGATTTCTGTACTAATTTACTCAGTGTTTCGCTTCATTATCGAGCTGCTCCCTCTCGCTCTTTGACCCCTCTCCAAATAGTCCAACAAATCAAATTAATATGATAAAAGCAAATTGGAAAATGTTAGACAGCCCACCCACTCGTTCCACCCGTCTATCCATCCATTCATCCATTCATTCATCCATCTATAGATACAGCCCCGGTCAATGCATATTTGATGTTATTGATTTCTTGGCCCATCTATTGTCAAATTTGTCATGCATTTTTAATGCCAACTGGGCGGTTGAACCCACATTTTGATACTGATTGTGCTGTCGCCTTCAATTCGCTTTCATTTCTGTCTGTCAATTTCAATCTCAATCTCTCAACCCTACATTAAAAATAAGCATACATTTAATTGCAATTTATAACTTTTTTTGTTAGATTCACAGTAAATTATTGTTATGCCAAATATGACAAAAAGTTCAATTGTTTAATTTATGATTGTTGGAAAAAGGGTTCAACGAAATACTGGTAAAGCTTTTGCAGTTGACCAATTTTTGCTGATTTTCAATCCAATTTCACTAATTTTTTTTATATTTTAAACAAATTTTGGTCACTATATTTAAATAACTTTTGTTAAAGCTACTTCAAATTCGAGTTTAGGGATTTATGATTTAATTCGCTTTGCTGTGAATTAAGCCAAAGTTTTAACTTTTTTTTGTTTTGAAAAGTATTAAAACTTCACGGAAGGAAAGCTCCTTCACTTTATTGATGTCCCACTTTCCTTACAGAATTTATTCGAGTTAACAATTTGTTTATAGCTTGAATCACGTCTGTGTGTCTGTAGCACCTCTCTGCAGTTTATGTCGCACCTTAAAACAATTTTACGAGCCGCCAATTCAGCAGAATCGAGGCGAAACCCCTTCAGCTGAGCACGGCACACTCGACTATTCGGAAAATGTTGAACCCCGCACGTAACACTCCTGTCTCTTGGTTCTCTACCCCCGGTTCTCTTTCTGGCCAAAAGTGTTTTACAACTATTTGCTGTGTGCTTTACTCATTCTTTTTTCCTCTACACTTTTTTTTCTCTTTTTCTTTTTTAGCAGCTTTTCTTGTTCCTGATGCTGCTCTTCGTTTTGTTCGTTGGATGCCTCGCACTTTTGAATATATACGAGTATCCTTTATGATATTCAATTTCAAATTCTAATGCTTTAAGCGATTAAGTACACGCTTTACGCCACTTAGCTTCATGTCGCTCTCTGTGTGCTCGGTGTCAGCTAGGAAACTCTGTCTCCGCCTCTCTTGCCCCACCAGAAGAGCTATCCAGAGCTATCGCGGGTATTTGCCGACTTCAGTTACTTTAGGCGCCGCCAACACTTGATGCCTGCTCCTGTTCCCATCCCCAGATTATCCCAGGCTCCTGCTCATGCTCCTCCTATTTCTCCTGTTCCTTCTCTGTGTCGACATGACATCGACGCTCTTAAGTGCCAGTTCGAGTTGGCCTGGCCAAGTGGTGTATAGGAGGGAAAACTCCTCCTGCTGCCTCTTCCTTTCTGTTTCTTTTTTTTTGTTTGGTCTGTGTCGTGCTCAAGGACTTTTTTCATGTGCGTGCAGCAGCTTAGTGGCAGATGTGGGGGGACAGGCCACCCGAGCCCAATCCCATTCCGAATAGATGAGGGGACAGTTTTCGTTACGGTTTCCATTGCCACCGCTGCTGGGCCTGGCTTAAAGCGGCTTAAATTGCGTATACGCCCAGTCGGTCAGAGTCGTGGCAGACGACTGTCTGCTGGTAATGGTCGAGCCGTTATTTCTCTGTCTCTCACACTCTCTCTCTCTTTGCTGTCTCTTTTCCTTGTCTCTTTCTTGCTGTTTCCATTACTGCGGACGTTCACTTATTTTGCATTTGCTGAAACTATCTTTTTTTTTGGGCTACTTTTGCTCTGGCATCTACTCAATTATTATTATGCCGCTTGAGAGAAACAGTTGCCGTAGTTGCCTCACGTGCCTCTCTGATCTACTTGCCACAGCTATCCGACTCTCTCCCTCCCTCCCTCCCTCTCTCTCTCTCTCTCTCTCTGTCGCTTACTTCCCCTCTTTATTCTTCTATTTCTATGTGTGCATCGTCTTCATCAAATCGCTTTTGTGGCCTGGTCATTCGTGCGTGTTCTAATTTGTTTGCTACGCAGTTCCCTCCCTCTCTGTATCTGTGTGACTGCATGTCTGAATGTGTGTGCGTGTGTGTGTGTCTCTCATGTTGATTGCCACTCAAGTCCGCTCTTGCCCGCAATCCCCTACTTTGCCTACTTTCCCCCACCTCCTTCGAGACCACTTTTAATACCCTTTTAAAGGTGCAAATGACTTCGTTTCGGTGCTTTTTTTTCTTCTTATTTTTCGTTTTGTGTGTCTCTCTCGGCATTAGCTCGACAACTTTGTACACGTAACGTAGCTGCCTCCAAGTGGGGACTACCACCTGCCAGTGACGCGCAGATGGTGTCAGGCAATTATCATAAATAGCCACAAAAAGTTGTTCTATGCAGAGGGTTTTAAACAGAAAAGGATATGCTTCCGATTGTAAATACTTACTTACTTACTTATTTCTATACTTTAATCTTCCTCCTTGCTGCAAAAAGATTATAATCTGATAATTATCAGTCATTGCCGACTATTTTCTTTATTTTTTCTATGATAATTTTCTGTTGCCTTCTTTTTGGGGCACTATTTTGATTGAATATTATTTGGTTATCTGGAGAAAACTCTTTTAGGGCACATCTAAACAGAAAAATATACCCATATCTCAAATGCCTATTTGCCAAACAACTCAAAGAAATCGAGGCAGGAAAAAAAAACCAGTTCCGCCAGCAAGCTGGCGAAAATGATAAGCGGGGGAGAGCGACTGGCATCCTGCCCCACAAGCCACACACACAGGAATCGTGCTAATCTTCACTTGAAAAACACTTGAGAAAGAGAAGACGATTGGCCAAGAGAAAAATACAGAAGCAGGGAGAGTGAGAAAAGCCAAAAGAAATGAGGCAAAGGACTGGGCCGCTAGGCTGTGAATGAGCTGTAAAAAGGCTCAAGTATTGACAATGCCTTTGGTCCACACTTAGGCATCAATGATAGGCCCCCTCACCCACTCCCGCTCACACTCCTACTGTGTGTCTGTGTGTGTGTGTGTGTGAATGGGCTAATGGGCGTGGCTGAAGTGGGACCAGACAACAAATTGACAAATTTCGTTCTTTTTTTTCTCTCCGGAGTGTGTGTGAGAGTGTGGGTGCGAGGATTTATTTCAATTGAAAGTGCCGCCATGAGCTGTCAACAAGAATCCCTTCTCTAGACTCTGGCAATAAGTCAGCTAACGAGCTTCAATGAGGCATGCCAAGTATTTCCGGTACGAAAAGAAAGAGAGGCAGCAAAGGGGGAAAAAGAGAGAGACATACATAGATATAAAGGCATAGTAGAGTGAGAAAAAGAGACATCAAGTGGCCTGGCATTGAAGTTAGTGAAGCATTTTCCTGTCCTTTTGCTTCGAGAGTTTTTGGCTAACATTTTTGTTATGTGTTACCATGAAATTTACATTAGAATTTCCTCTCCTTTTCCTGCCACAATTTGCATGCACAAACAAGAGCGAAAGCGAGACAGACACAGTGTTTGAGTGTGAGAGAGAAGGCTAAAGACATTCTGCATAATTTTGTACAATTTTCAGTGTTGAAAATTTCAGAACATTTTCCAGCCACAAATTAATGAATGCTGCATAGCTGCATGGTAATTTTGCACTTGACATTTGTTTGTTAATTGAATATTTGTGTTTCTGATTAAAATCCTTCGAGAGAATGCTGGATATAGAGTTATATATTTTCTTACTGTTGCATTGCTAATTAGCCGTCGGTTTATCTGGCATCAGCCACTCGATAAGTTAAAGTTTTAGAGGCAAAGAAGTTTGCTATAGATTTGTGGCTTTTCCGCATGGGAAACTCTTAAGCAAGTCTTCCCCCCGCGTCAGGCATTTGACATTTGCAATTTTGCTTCACGCTTGGCGGACAAGCAAAAAGGTTTCTGTGGCTTTTGTGGCTGTCACTCGGCGACCAACCCCCAATGGACAGTCCATATCGAACGGTTTCTGGCTTTGATTGAACTTAAATGAATCCTGATGCGGTTAATGGTGTGGAAATGTGCCCCAGCCATGGCAGAGGACTACACACAGATAATTTCAATTATGTGTGGGTCGGGGTAATGGAATTAATATGAGATTACTAGGAAAGATTCCTTTCATATGTAAGTTCTCTGCTAGAACCCAAATAAATCTTAAATTTCTAATTAAAACTGCTCATTTTTGAGACTGTTTTACGTTAAGGCAACTCATTGCGTATGGTAATGTCACGCTCTTAATTCCACGCATAAATCAAATGACAAATTCAATGATAATCACATTTGCTACAACTCTGGCATTCAATTAACAAGAGGCAACAACACTGGCAACAATCACAAAGGCAGAATTTAATTAAATATTCCTTAAACAGCAAACAGCAGAGAGATGGAGAAAGAAGGAGTGTGAGTGAGAAGTGAGAGAGTGAGAGAGAGAGAGAGAGACAGGACTGGAAGTTCGACTATATGCAGATTGAATTAAGTTCTATTTTTCACGCCCTCTTAAGAGAACCTGAAGGAAGAGAGAGGGATATAGAGAGGAAAGGCAATGTTACGACAAGAATTGTAAACGTATGTGTAACCCAACAAACACACACACACACTGTCGGAGAGACAAAGAGAGGTAGAGGGGCAGGAAACACACACCCACACAGACCCTTTTGCGGCGATACGAAAAATTTAATTTTCTCACATTACTTGTGCATACTTGGAAAAGCCGGAGGCGAAAAACCGAAACCAAAAACCGAACAGCGAGCACCGAAACACCTACCCAAGAGCAGATCCGACCCCCCCACCAACTCAACCTCATGCACCTCCA